AGATTCTTTGGTCCCTACACTCTTAAAACTTTTAAAATTTATACCTTTGTTTCCTCCCAGATGAATAATCAGTTATATCAGCATCATTTATTAAATGAGCCACTCTTTTCCATCTGAAATTGAAATATTTCCTCTATTATAGCTTAAGTTTTAAATATACCTGTATCTGTTTCTGTGCTCTCTTGTCTTATATTACTTTTCTAGTCCTATGTTGCTTTCAATCTACATTGTTTTCAGTATTCTTGTATTTTTTTAATGTTCTAATGCAAGTCCCTCCTCACTAGTGTTACTTATTCAAATGTTTTGGGCTCTTCATATGTAACTGGTGGGATCATAAATTTATATTTGTATTATACATTGGGAGCTAAAGAAATTTATTCACAGTATTGAGTGCATTCACAATGCCAGGTCCCATGTAAAAGTGGGGAAATGGTCTCCCTCTGTTCTTTGTGCCATACTTTGTTACCTGGGTCACAAAGCATTTCTGCTTTACTCCTGAGCTCAAAGTCACTGTTGACCTGCTTTATCCATTCTTAGGCCTCACCACCATGCTTAGCCAACAGACCCAGACACAATATGCAACAGAGCTGAACCTTGAATAGGTACTAAGAGCTGTTCATTCTTACTCGTTTTCTTTTTACCCTCTACTACCATCCAAGAAAAAGAAATGCAACAAGGCAAAATGGTTGTCTGAGGAGGCCTTAAAATGAGCTGAGAAAACAAGACCTAAGTGAAAGGCAAAGGAGAAAGGGAAAGATACACCTAACTGAATGCAGAGCTCCAGAGAATAGCAAGGAGAGATAAGAAAGCCTTCTTAAGTGAATGATGCAAAGAAATAGAGAAAAACATTAGAAAAACATTAAAAACATGAGAAAGACTAGAGATCTCTTAAAAAAAATTACAGATACCAAGAGAACATTTCATATAAAAATGGGCACAATAAAGGACAGAAGCAGTATGGACCTAACAGAAGCAGAAGTTGTTAAGAAGAGGTGGCAAGAATACACAGAAGAACTGTACAAAAAAGACTTCAATGACTCGGATAACCACGATAGTGTGATCACTCACCTAGACCAGACATTCTGGAGTATGAAGTCATGTGGGCCTTAGGAGGAATTAGTACAAATAAAACTAGTAGAGGTGATGGAATTCTACCTGAACCATTTCAAATCCTAAAAGGTGATGTTGGCAAAGTGCTGTACTCAATATGCCATGAAATTAGGAAAACTCAGCAGTGGCCACAGGACTAAAAGAGGTCAGCTTTCATTCCAGTCATAAAGAGGGCAATGCCAAAGAATGTTCAAACTACCACACAGTTGTGCTCATTTCAAATGCTAACAAGGTAATACTCAGAATCAACGTGAACTGATAACTTCCAGATGTACAAACTGGATTTAGAAAAGGCAGAGGAATCAGAGATCAAATTTCCAATGTTCGTTGGATCATAGAAAAAGCAAGAGAATTCCAGAAAAAAATCTACTTCTGCTTCCTTGATTATGCTAAAGCCTCTGACTGTGTGGGTCACAACAAACTGTGGAAAATTCTTAAAGAGATGAGAATACCAGACCACCTTAACCTGTCTCCTGAGAAACCTGTATGCAGGTTGAGAAACAGCCATTAGATCTGGACTTGAAACAATGGACTGGTTTAAAATAGGAATAAGAGTACTTCAAGGCTATCTGTTGTCAACCTGTTTATTTAACTTATACGCAGAGTACATCATGCAAAATGCTGGCTGGCTGAAGCACAAGCTGTAATCAAGATTGCTGGGAAAAATATCAATAACCTCAGATATGCAGATGACACCACCCTAATGGCAGAAAGCGAAGAGGAACTAAACAGGCTCTTGATGAAGGTTTTAACCTTCATCTCCTCTTTAGAGAGTGAAAAAGCTGGCTTAAAACTCAACTTTGAAAAAACTATCATAGCATCCGGTTTCATCACTTCGTGGCAAATAGGTGGGGAAAAAATGGAAACAGATTTTGTTTGTCTTAGTCTCTAAAATCACTGTAGATGGTGACTGCAGGCCATGAAATTAAAAGAGGTTTGTTCCTTGGAAGCAAAGCAGTGACCAACCTAACAGCTTATTAACAAGCGGAGACATCACTTTTCCAGCAAAGGTACATCTGGTCAAAGCTATGGTTTTTCTAGTAGTCATGTATGAATGAACTTTTGTACTGTGGTATTGGAGAGGACTCTTGAGAGTCTCTTGGACTGCAAGGAGATCAAACCAGTCAATCCTAAAGGAAATCAACCCTGAATATTCATGGGAAGGACTGATGGTAAATCTGCAGCTCTAATACTTTGGCTACTTGATGCAAAGTGCTGCCTCATTAGAAAAGACCCTGGTGCTAGAAAAGATTGAAGGCAGATCAGAGGCCAGAAGATTTGTATTATTGTAATATAAATGAATTCTGAAGAGCTAGGGCAAAGTAGCTGCAGCGTTACTACCTTTTCGTGTGATAGGAGATGTGAAATTAGCCTGAAGCATCAAAGAGATGGTCCCTGGATCTGAACAGGAAAACAATGGCCCCTGGATATCATGAAGCCTCTTCACTTCCACTGGTGGGATGATAAACAAATACATAAGAACTTCAGCTGTAGTCCGAAATCTTCATCAATAAATCACTGTATCTCCCATGGGGGGAAAAAAAAGATTGAAGGCAGAGGAGAAGGGGACCACAGAGGACAAGATGGTTGGATGGCATCATGGACAACTCAATGGACATGAGTTTGAGCAAGCTCCAGGAGACCGTGAAGGACAGGGAAGCCTGGCATGCTGCAGTCCATGGGGTCACAAAGAGTTGGACATGACTGAGCGACTGAACAGAAATAAATGTACGAATGTGAGAGTTGAACCACAATGAAGGCTGAGCACAGAAGAATTGATGCTTTTGAATTGTGGTGTTGGAGAAGACTGTTGAGAGTCCCTTGAACAGCAGGGAGATCAAACCAATCAATCCTAAAGAAAATCAGCCCTGAATATTCATTGGAAAGACTGATGCTGAAGCTGAAGCTCAAATACTTTGGCCACTTGGTGGGAAGAGCCGACACACTGCTAAAGACCCTGATGCTGGGAAAGATTGAAGGCAGGAGGAGAAGGGGAGAAAAGAGGATGAGATGATTGGATGGCATCATCAACTCAATGGACATGAATAAGCTCTTGGAGATAGTGAAGAACAGGGAAGGCTGGTGTGCTGCATTCCATGGGGTTGCAGAAATTCAGACACAACTGAGCAACTACCACCACCCTTGTATTTTCTTTATACTTTAAAAACAAAATCTACCAGATGCTAATGTGTCGAGAGAGAGTTGTTATATACACCAACTTTTAATAAAGTGTCTTCCCCTTAAACATATAAGGAAATATGATTGCTCCTCAGATCACTAAACAAGAGAAATGTTCAATCAGAATGGGTTAAAATAAAAGGGCTAATGAGATCTAAAATTGGTGATATGTGGAGCACTGACTATCAATATCATATGTTGCTGGAGGAAGTATAATTTAATATACCTGTTTTGGAAAATAGTATGATATTGTGTACTAAACCTCAGTATATATGTACTGTTTGTTAATAAGTCTGCTACTAGGTATGTATGCAGCAGAAAAAATGTTTATGTGAGAAGATGTGTATAGTTGTGTTCATAGTAATTTTATTTGCAATAGCCCTAAAATGGAAACAACTCTTATGTACATCAATAGTAAATTGGGTTATAAGATAAAGTATGTTAAGTCAGTGAAACACTGTCCAGGAGTACAAACAAGGAATTACTAATAACACATAGTAACATGACTGAATCTCACTGATAAAACATTGAAAGAAATCAAACACAAAACATAATAGTATTTACATGAATTTCAAAAGCATATCTATTGTTAAGGAATAATAGTTATGTTATTTGCTTGCCGAATGGTTACTAACTGGACGGGAGCCTGAGGCAACCTGTTTTAGTTCTGGAAGTGTTTTTTATATTTGCATTTTGGTTATGGTTATACAGGTGCATGTATATGTAAACCTTCATCAAGGAATACCTTAAGATTTCTGCATTAATCATCCATAGTTGTAGCTAATACAGAAATAAAAGTTTATTTAAAACTTTTTAAAAAGTAATTTTTATCTATTTCTTGTGCTTCCTCTTAACCCCCGGCAGAACTCTCAATAGTTATGCCTGGTAGTATGCTAAGTAGAATTACATTAAATTTATCTAACAATTTGGAAAGATTTTCTTGATGCAGCATGAAGCCTTTTTAATATGGAACTTATTTAAGTCATTTTCTGTAGCCTAAAGGTGTTTTTATAATGTTCTTCATTAAAATTTATATAGTCCTTCAATTTGTTTTTGGATGATTTTAGTTGTGAGCAGCCTTCTCAATCCATTTATATTTCATAATATTGCTAATGTTCAAATTTGATTTTGTACTTTTATCTTTTGTCAGTTATCAGATATTTTATGCATTAGCAGAGACTTGTAGAAAAGGACAATTGTCCTTGTTGATATTTTACTAATTTTTGCATAAACTAAAATCTTTAAAATATGTGTTAAATGCTTAGGGATGCATCCTTGCCTCATTCTTCTTAGAGCTGAAAAGTGTCAAGGTTTCCACAGGAAATATGTTTTGGCCTTTGTTTTTATGTTGTTTACCAACATTATCACATCATCCGTTTTCTAGACATGTTTTTATTAAGCATGGTTCCAGGATTTTTATCAGATACCTTTTGAGATCTGGTATTATAATCATTTACTTTTCTTCTTTGCATTGTTGATTAATTGAATTGAGTTCCTAATATTGAATCATCCTTGTATTTCTGGGAAAAAATGCATTTTATTATATGTGGTCTTAATTTTATATTATATATATAATTTTATATAATATATGTGATTAAGTAGTTTTCTTGTTTAAATATCTACACATAGAAAACCAGTAATTTATCGAAAATTCATTTGCTATAATATCAATTAAAATTTTTTTTCTTTCCTCTTTTTTTTTTCCCCCACAGTCTGTGGTCGATGACTGGATTGAATCATATAAGCAAGACAGAGACATTGCACTTCTGGACTTAATCAACTTTTTTATCCAGTGTTCAGGATGTCGAGGTACAGAATGTTGGAATATATGATGTACTGTTAGTCCAGCAGTTTCAAATTTACTTTACCTTGTGTTAATCATTTTATAATTCATTCTGGAATTAATTGCTAGTCTTTTGTGGTAAAATTATTTTATTTAAAAATATTTCTCTTTATCCTAGTTCAATTTTGTTCATAACAGATTTCTGAAATTTTAATGTTTTGAATGAAATCTGAAATTAAGGAGTTTGTGAATTGACCTTTTAGATCACAAGATTTTATAATTAATATTTACTGATATTATTTGTATCTGTGCTCTATATTGTGAACTGTGCCAGTTGCTAACATTCATTACTTTGGATCCTCATCTTGTAGATGAAGTGCTTGAAGCTTAAATGTTTGAAGGTAACATAAATATGAAAATCAGGTTTAAGTTTACAATCATTTGGAATCCATAGACAATTTGTTAAAAAATGAAGTTATTCTTATCATATTAGTAGGTAACTGATACAGACCTTTTTTCTCTAGAATAAATATTAACAGGTTAAATTGTACTGTGTGGGATAACTCAGTTGGTTAACACCATTCTGTGCTTATCAATGCAGAAAGGTGATCTTTCATTGAGGTCACTGATCAAATTGATTTCTTGAAGGCTTTCTTATTTCTGATTAAGTTATCACTCACCATGTTAACATAAGAATTTTATCAATATTTACAAAGTACCTAGGTTATTGTTCCAAAGTATATATATATATGTATATGTATATATATAATACTATCAAGACAGTCTCTGCCCCAGTAACTATTAGAATATGTTTAATTTTTATTTTTTAACAATTTCTGCTTTAATTTTTTTTAATGTACTTTCTACTTTGAGTTTATTTGCTATTTATTTATTTGGCCATGCCATGCAGCGTGTGACATCTTAATTCTCCAGTTGGGAATCCAGTCTGTAGCCTACTGCAGTGGAAGTGTGAAATCTTGATCACTGGACCACCAAGAAAGTCCCTGTTGAGTTTTTAAAGAAGGATGTTTTGCAAAGAAAAGGAGGGAAATATACCAGTAATTCACTGAACTGTTTATTAATAGGAGAGTAATAAAATTGGATACAATTTAATGACTTTCAGCTTGGCAGTGTATGTGCCAAACTGTGTGCTTTACATGCATTAGCTCGTTTGATATTAGTTTGACACTTCTATCAGTCAGATATGATTTTTATTCTGTCATTCAAGAAACTAAGGATTCAGGGCTTAGGTTAGTTTTTGGACATCATCCAGTTTTAAAGTGCCGAATTCATGATTTAGATTCAGGCTTGTCGCTATCTGGAGTCTCCATGTCTAACCACAAGGTGTAGTGTAGGAATAACAAGGAGGAGCTTCTGATTCAACCTAGGCTGTGTGTTTCTGTGTATGTGTGAATATGGGGATATTTGTAAGAAAGTGCATCTCAAAGGAACAAACTTGATACTGGAACTGAGGTGTTGAGTAAGAGTAAATTAAGGTGGAAGAGAAAGGTCCAAGTTGACAGTTGGTGTAAAAATTCCAGAAAAAGAGAAAGTACAGCACACTCTAGTGCATAAAGAGAGTTTGTGGCAGCAACCTGGAGCATAGAGTTAGATGAGGATTGGCAAGAGATTAGTTTATTTGAAGGAAAGTGAGGTTGTTAATTTTACAGTCTTAAACTGGGAAAGGCAAGTACTGAGTGAAGTGCTTTACATATGTGGTCTTGTCTAATCTATGTAAGTGTCCCGTTAGAATGAGTTTCGATTTTAAAACAAATGGTAGTCTTTAAAATTTTTTGTTTTTGTAAATTGTTCATATGGTTCAAAAAAAAAATGCAACAAGAGAAATGTAAATCAAAAAACCTTTACTACTTCTTGCCTTCCCATCTATCTCCACAGAGTTACTTCTTAACTCCTTTATTGTATATCCATCTATCTGTCTGTATGAGTAGGAGATGTATGCTCTTTTCTTCCTCACCCCTTTCACACAAAAGATACTGGTGTATAGAGAACTTTCTTGGTTTCTTGCCTTCCCTTCCCTCTTTATTTCTTTTCCTTCATTCCCTCACATTTTTCCCCTTCCTCCCTTTCCCTTCCTTTTCTTCCCTTTCTTCCCTCCTCTCCATTTCCTCCCTTCCCTCTCCCTCTTTTCCAGCATCAAAGCATTCCTTTTTATGTATGTACAGCAATTTATTTAACTAGTTGTCTGTTAACAGTGCATTGACTACTATCTGTTGTCTTTTGTTCTTACAGTGAGTAATTTCATTTGTTCTTTGTGGCAGAATAAATGTCTGTAGGTTATTATATTTTTAATTATATTAGATATTTCCAAATTTCCTGTTACGGAAATTATGTCCATTTTACTCCTATCAGTAATATATGAAAATATATGTTTCTATTTGGTCTTTTCAACAAAGTATTTTTATCAAATTTTTTTATTGGTCTTATGAATGATTTAAAAATACATTATATGATTTTTTTTTAATTGAGGTGAAATACACTTAAACAGTTAATCATTTTAAAGTGGGTGGTTTAGTAGTTTTTGGCACATTAATAGTGTTGTATAACCACCTCTTTCTGGTATCAAAACTTTTTGTTACCACCCCAGAAGAATACTTATCATTAATTAGTCACTCCACATTAGCCTCTTCCCTGCTGTCCTTGGCTGCCTCTAATCTGCTTTCTGCTCCTATGTTCTACTCATTTTATGTAAAAGGAGATTGTACAGTATGTGATCTTTTGTGTCTGATCTCTTTAATTTAGCATATCTTTGCGATTTCTCTGAGGAGTAGCATATATTGATAAAATTCATTTCATTGTACGTATATATTACAATATGTTTATCCATTCATCCATTGATGAATGGACTTGTACTTTTTGGTTGTTGTGAATATTGCTACTATGAATATTTATGGCCAGGTATCTATTTGAGTACTTCTTTTTTAATTCTTTGGTGTAAATACCTAGGAGTGAAATTGCTGGATCATATGGTAATTCTATTTTAAGTTTTTGAGGAACTGCCAAACTGTTTTCACAGCAGCTGCACCATTTTAAATTCTATAAATATATGAAGACTCTTATTTCTCTACATCCTGTAAAACACTTTCACTTGCCAGTTTTAAAATTTTAATGTCCTGGGGGTATGAAATGGTATTTTTTTTAATGGTTTTGATTTGCATTTTCTTTATTACCAGTGATTTGGGCAACTTTTTGTGTTTTTGGCAATTGGTATGTCTTTTTTAAGTAATGTGTATTTGAGTCCTGTGGTTATTTTGAAATTAGATGGGTTTAATTTTATTTGTGAGTTATTGTATTAGAGTTCTTTGTATATTCTTGATATTAAATCTTTTATCAGATACATAATATGGAATTGCTTATAACTTGTAACTACTCCCACACTGTAGGTTGTGTTTTCCCTTTATTAAAGATGTCCTTGGATGGACAAAAGTTTTAAGTCTTTGTGAAGTCTAACTTTTCCTTCATTTCTTTTTCTCATGCTTATGGTATCAAATCTATGAATCCATTGCCAATTCTAAGAGCATGAAGATTTACCTCCATATTTTCTTCTAGTAGTTTTATAGTTTTAGATCTTATATGTAGGTCATTGATCCATGGTTAAATTTTGTATTTGGATGATTTTAATTTGTATTTCTCTTACGTGTGTGACTTGAGAGCCATTTTTATTTCTTTTTTTTCAGTTTTCTGTTCATATCCTTTGCTACTTTTCCTTTCAGCTATCTTCATAGTTCCTTATAAGGCATTTGACAGATTTTAAAACATTTTAGTATATCAGACTGAGATGCATCTTTTCTTAACATGTTTAAAAGAATGCTCACTGTCTCTCATATTAGTGCATTATAATAAAAATCTAAAATAGATTCAAGTACCTGTGAACCTGTAGTAAGCAGATACTGCTAGCACATATGAAGACAGCTGCAAGATACAACTATACAATATACCATTTTTCATCTCTCAGATTGATAGAAATTATAAGTTATAATCTCTGTTCTTTAGGATGTGAGGAAACAGACACTCTTAAATTACTTGTTGGAATAAAAGTGGATACCTATGTCTTAGATAGAAATTTGACGTTATCTACCAAAACTCCCTCATAGCTCAGTTGGTAAAGAATCAGCCTGCAATGCAGGAGATCCTGGTTCAATTCCTGTTTCGGGAAGATCTGCTGGTGAAGGCATAAGCTACCCACTCCAGTATTCTTGGGCTTTCCTTGTGCCTCAGCTGGTAAAGAATCTGCTTGCAATGCGGGATACCTGGGTTTGACCCCTGGGTTGGGAAGATTCCCTGGAGAAGGGAAAGGCTTACCCACTCCAGTATTCTGGCTTGGAGAATTCCATGGACTATACAGTCAACGGGGTCAAAAAAAGTTGAACCCGACTGAGCAACTTTCACTTTCACCAAAACTCCTTATGTTCTTATCTTTTGACCTAGCCATGCTGTTTCTGGAATTTTGCCATGAAGATATATTTCCATCTTACAAAAATAAATGCACAAGGTTATTCAGTAACATATTTATAGTTGTGAAATATTGGAAACAACCTAAGTGCCAATGTGTAGGACAGTGATTGAGTAAACTGTGGCAAAGCTTATTCAGTGGAGCTTTTTGGCATGGCGAAAAACTGTGAGGAAAAACTGTGTGGGCTAATACAGGGAGATTTTCAGGACACATTTATTTTTTTAAGTGCAAAAGAGTGTCTAAAAGTATTCAACTTTTTTTAAAGGAAAGAAGAGAAATAATAGAATATACACATGTATCTGGTCACTTGACAATAAAGAAATAAAGGGAAGATAAGACACAGAATAATAATTTCCTACCTGTAGGGTATAGTGACGGAGAAGGCAATGGCACCCCGCTCCAGTACTCTTGACTGGAGAATCCCATGGACAGAGGAGCCTGGTGGGCTGCAGTCCATGGGGTCGCTAAGAGTCGGACACGACTGAGCAACTTCACTTTCATTTTCCACTTTCATGCATTGGAGAAGGAAATGGCAACCCACTCCAGTGTTCTTGC